TATGTGGGGGAATTTTCCCAATAGGTGCCCAAGAAGCAGTATAACTGTCCTGAGGGGCCAACTCTAAGGAGAGAAACTGGGAGACTGGGAACTCACCAAGTGGAGAGAAGGGACAAAGTAGATAGAGGAGTCTTAGAAGATAAGGGGAGGTGTGTTGTATGGAGACAAGCCCACGATGAACTGTCACTGAGATGGTGGGATAAGAGCTGTTTTTCCACCCTTCAATTGCTTGATCACTCATTCCTTGGGGACAGACAAGGCCATCCATTTTGGAGGCCACTGGTTGAGAGCACTTAGAGGTTAAGTGACTTCCCAAGGGAACACTTCTGTTTTGTATCACCTTCTAGATCTCTCTGATGTATCACTACCCTGGTTTTGCTGTGTGTGTGGGTGTGCCTGTGTGTATATATCTTGCCGTTATTTTTTTTGAATGCTTCATATTTCTCATTTTTTATAGAATCAATATATTCCATTTATAATTAATATGCCATTCTTTATTCATTCAACCTTCAGTTGTTGGATATATACATAACTTTGAATTTTTTCTATTATAAATAGAGCAGCAGTAAATATTTTTGTACAAATAAGTCTTTTTCATGCTGTTTTTGCAGGCAGCTAGGCAATACCATGGATAGAGCACTGGACCTAGAGTCAGGAAGACCTGACTTCAAATCTGGCCTCAGAAACTTACTAACTATGTAACCCTGATCAAGTCAATTGACTTATTTGTCTCAATTTCTTCATCTGTAAAATGAGGATTGAGGCAGCCAGGTGGTGTAGAGGATAGAGTGCCAGGCCTGGAATCAGGAAGGCCTGAGTTCAAATCTGGCCTCAGGCACTTACTAGCTGTGTGACCTTGGGCAAATCACTTAACCCTGTTTACCTCGGTTTCCACATTTGTAAAATAAGTTGGAGAAGGAAATGGCAAACTACTCCAGTATCTTTGCTAAAAAAACCTCAAATGGGGTCACAAAGCGTTAGACATGATTAAAATAACTGAACAACCAAAAAAATGAAGATAATAATAGCACCTATCTCCCAAGATTATTGTGACGTTAAAATGAGATATTTGTAAAGCACTTTGCAAACCTTAAAATGCTATATAAATAACAGCTACTATTATTATTACTTTTATTATAATTTTTGGAATAAAGTACTAGCATTGGAATTGATGGGTCAAAAGCAAATTATCATTTCTGATTCATTACATATTGCTCTCCAAAATGTTTGCACCAGCCTTCAGTCACACCAACAATATATCAGAAGGCCTATTTTCCTTCAGTTAACAGGTCAACTAGCATTTATTAAATGCCTATTATATGCCAGGCACTGTGATAATCCCTAGGGATACAAAGAAAGACAAAAAACAGTCCCTGCCTTCAAGGCGTTCATAGTCTAATGGAGGAGACCCCATGCACAGAACTATATGCAAACCAAATCTAGACAGGGTAATTTGGAGGTGATAGCAGAGAAGCTATTAGCATATTGTGTGTTGTATTGTTTGTCCTTCATTCCCAAAAAGGATCATTGAAAGGGATTGGAAGAGGTGGGACATTTGTTGGGGCTTGAAGGAAACCACGAGATGGAGATGAGGAGGGGGAGAATTTCAGACGTGGGGGACAGCCAGTGAAACAGCCCTGAGTCAGGAGATGGAACGTCTTGTGGAAAGAACAGCAAGGAGGCCGGTGTCCCTGCATCATAGAGTACATGGAGGGGAGTAAGGTATAGGAAGACTGGAAAGGTAAGAGAAGGGACTGGGTTTGAAGGGCTTCAAAAGTCAAATAGAGGATTTTATATTTGATCCCAGAGGTGACAGGGAGCCACACGGGGAGTTTATTGAGAAGAGGGTGACATGGTAAGGCCTGCACTATAGAAAGATCACTTCGATAGCTGAGTGGAAGATTGACCAGATTGGGGAGAGACCTGAGGCAGAGACACCGACCAGAAGGCTATTGAAAAAGGCCGGCTGATAAAGGCCTGCTTCAAGGGGGCAGCAGCATGAGAGGTGAGAAGTGAGAATATACAAGAGATGTTAGAAAGTACAGGCCTAGGTTTTTTCCAAGGAAATACAAGGCAAGGTTCTTAGTTCAGAGGGGGTGAGAGAGTGGGATCCAAGAGAGGTTTGAGGAGGGAGGAAAATGTTCATGGGACAGTGAATCCATTAGGAATCCATTAGCATGAGAAGATGGCCTTGCCACAGTGAGGGCCCAGTTGAGCTCAGGTAACATAAATTTGTAGCGGATCCAGTCAGCTCCCAGATGTAGTGATCCTTTTTTTTTTTTAAGTTTTGCTTTGTTAGTCTCTGTAAGGTTGTATCTTAAGTTTCCCTTAATTTGCATTTCCTCTATGATCACCTGAGATGCAACGATGTCTAACAGAGTGGAATTGTTGTCGTTCAGCTATTTCAGTCATATCCAACTCTTCATGACTCCATTTGGGGTTTACTTAGCAAATATACCAAAATGGTTTGCTATTTCCTTTTCCAGCTCATTTTACAGATGAGGAAACTGAGGCAAACAGGGTTAAGTGACTTGCCTGGGGTCACACAGGCTGGATTTGAACTCAGGTCCTCCTGACTCCAGGGTTGGTGCTCTATCCACCGTGCCAGCTACATACCCCACAGAAGTAGCATAGTGTAGTTGAAATAGCATTAGATTTGGAGTTATAAGACTTGGGATTGAATCCCAAACTGAATGACAATAGCTGAATCACATAACTGCTCAGCCTTAGTTTCCTCATCTGTAAAATGAGCTTCCCAAATACTACTTGTCTCAGAGAGGTTGTGGGGGGAAAAATAATACCCTTTGTACGCTATAAAGCACTACATGTGTGGGTTACAGAATGTATTTTTCTTTCACTTTACTTTCCCTAGTTAATAATAGCCTATATTTATGTAATGCTTTAAGGTTAACAAAAAGTTTTAAATATATTATTTAACTGGATCATCACCACAACCCTGTGAGGTAAATGCTATTATTATTTCCATTTTACAGTTTAGTAAACTGAGGCTAAAAGGTCATGCAGCTTAAATAAGTGTCTGAAGCAGGATTCAAATCCACATCTTCCTGACTTCAAGTGCTGCGCTCTGTCTATATCACAACATTTGCATGCATGCATGCTAAATTCAAGACTGCCTATACAAGTTATGGTTTTATTTCAGAAGCCATATTCCTCAAAATACTAAGCTCCAGTAGCCTTCACTTTTATATCTGCTCAAGAAAACTTCTGGCACATTGAACTCACACAGGGTAAGAAGACCAATGTGTATTTGATAATATTCAAAATGTTATGAGAGAGTGAAATGATATTGTAACCTAACTATGATTCTGGCTTTCATCATTTAGTATTGGAATTAGAAAAATAGCATAAGATTTTCTTATTTTGGTCCTACAGTACTACTTTTACGATAATGATTTCTTAAATGCTTATCACAGATGGGCAGTATTTGATTAAACAAGTATTTACCTGCATCATAAAAGGCCTCAGGTCTTTAGACCTAAATTGGTCATGTTAGTAAAATTTTATCACCAAGAAATTTGTATGGAAAAGTCCCTTACCTGTTGTGTTCATAATGGTAATTAATGAAAATTCCCAGGATTTTGATGAACATTTTGATTATCTCACACTTTCTCTCTCTACTATTGTCACACTATTCTCACAGAATGGAATAACTCTTAAATGTTCTGTTTCTAGTGCATTATTTCAGCGGGCGGCTTTCAAATGAGCATCAGAACCAAACTTTAAAATGCTAGTAATAAAATAAGAAAAAAAAAAAAACAATGAAAAACAACCAACCCATTTATATCCAGAAAGAGGTGCTCAAAATAACCTTTTTAAAAATGTACTTCCCTAACCACTGACAGCTATTTTATGATTACTTATAATGGAGGTAGCCCCAAGCAAGCACATAAGATTTTTACTAACAGGGCTACTACAGATTAATGAGGGACAAATCAGGAAGATTCATCTTCTTGAGTTCAAATCTGGCCTCAGAGACTTACTAACTATGTGACCCTGGGCAAGTCACTTAACCCTGTTTGCATCAGTTTCCTCATCTGTAAAAGGAGCTAGAAGAGGAAATGGCAAACCACTCCAGTATCTTTGCCAAGAAAACCCCAAATGGGGTCACAAAGAGTCAGAAATGACCAAACAACAAAAACAGATTAATTCTTCAAAACAGGTCATTTTGCCTAGAACCTAGATAAAATTTCATTATGCTCTTTATGGTAGAAAAGTTGTATTTTTCTACATATACACATTCAAAACCAAGCAGGAGTAGAGAATTAAGAGAAAGGGAAGAATTCTAATTTCCTTTAAAAATAGTCTTTTTTTTAACAGAGAAAAATGAGGCCTTTATGATCACCATTAGGGAACATGCATTTCATAAGGAAATGAGTCTGAGTGCTATCTTTTCTATATGTCTATCTTCATCCATTTCATGAAAATTACATAAATAATTAGAATAATGGCACTATACATTACTAAATTTTGTATAACATATGAAAAGAAAGGAATTTTTTTTAAAGAACAGGGAAAAACTTTTTGTTCGTGGCAAAAAAGGACAATTTGTTTTTATTTTTCCATCACTGCCATCAGCTTTCACAATAGAAACATATGGTGGAAATAGAGCTATTCAACAGAAGCATCTACAGAAAACAGTGAAATGAAATACTACTTTCTCTTCCTTTTCAGGTTGATCATACCAGTACAGAAGAGAGCTCTTTAAAAAAAAAAGAAAGAAACAAAGAAGCCAAACTAGAAAGGTCTTGCTTTCATGGAGAAAGTAGAACTACCAACAAAAGAGGATCTGGACTTCTTTTACCCAGAAAGAACCACCAAAAACATCTGTGTGGAAACAAGACCACTTGTACTCTTAAAAGGGATAAAATAAAAAACGAACAAAAAAATCCCCTGCCCTTTGGGATGATATTTTTATGTTTTTCCCATAAAAGACTATAAAAGAAGAGTAAATATTGTTTTTTAGAGACTGAGAGAGTGAGATGCAAAAAATGGAATCACCAGTCGCAGAAATTCAAGTAGAAAGCAAGGATGAGAAGGAATCTGTAGAGATAAGTCCTCAGGATGAGGAGCAGGTTGAAAAAGCATCCATGATTTGTTTTAAGAGAAGAAAGAAATCAGTCAAAGCTTTGAAGTCTAAGAATTGTTCTGAAAAAGCGCCCCGTCACACTGGTCTACGCAGTGCCAAGGATCCCACAGAAGTGGAAGCTTCAGATCAGTTTCAGTCACCACGGGGGACCTGGGCAGCAATCAGATGCTTTGTCACTCGACGGAAAAGGTCAAAATCTTCAAAGAAAGAAGTCCCCTTAGATGCTAAAGCACAACCTAAAGAAAACACTGATGACACCAAACTTGCTAAGAAAAAGGCTCGATCCAGGATTAAAATCCCCTGCATAAAACTCTCGAGAAGCAAGAAAAAAGGCAGCCATTCTCAAATTATTGAAGAATCTGAATGCAATATGAAAGTAAAGGAAGTTACAGACAGTTTAGGTACAGAGATTCAGATTCCTCAGGATGCTCCAGCTGTAAAGGATAAATTAATTGCAGACATAAGTGGTGGTAGCTCCCAGGAAGATAGTGTAAGTGTGCCACAAGTTAGTAACATCAGCTCTTCTGGGGAGAATGTGGCTTCCATAGAACTTGGGGTTGATACAGAATCTTGTGTCATTCAAACAGCAGCATTAATCCTTGAAAAAGGTATTGAGAAAACAGAAGAGATACAGGTTATAAACCTCCATCAAGGAAGGCTCCCTGAGGTTTCAGAAGTGGTACACCAGCTCCCTAAGGAGAACACGGAGGTCGGTAGTGTTGTGGTACCCAATGAAACCCCCACAGAGGCACCTGCAACCCCAGAGACACAGATCACAGAAGAAACATCTAAGGATGTCACAGAACAGGAACCAAAAGAGAAAGAACATGAAGATGGAGTAACTATTTCAGAAAAGAACAAGTCAAAAGACATTATAGTGTGCTTCAGTAAATCAGCTTTTGAAGAAAATGCAGTAGGTCCGAAGATGCCCCCATTAGAAGAAAGCAGAAGGATGGAACCAATTGCTATTATTGTCACAGACACTGAAGTCAGTGAATTTGATGTAAAGAAATCCAAAAACGTCCCTAAGAAATTCTTAATTTCGGTTGAAAATCAGCAAAGTGAGCCATTTTCTAATGCTGTGTCATCCAAAGGGGTTAATGATTTTGAGGGCAGAACTTCTGAACAGTATGAGAAGCTTTTAATAGAAACTGCTTCCTCGCTTGTCAAGAATGCCATTCAGTTGTCTATAGAACAACTGGTGAATGAAATGGATTCTGATGATAACAAAAGAAACAATCTTATATAAAAGACCAGAATTTCAGCTCATGTTTTCTTTTAATGGAAACCTAATGAAGAATTATTTTACATTTTATGACATCTTTAATTCAGAAAAATCATTATGGATATTTACAATCTCCAAAACTCAACAGCACCAGCTCCTATCGAGTTTGAGATGAGAATCTGGTCCAGAAATGTACTATATTGCTCCTTAATGTCCTGTTGATGACAGAACCTTATTTCATAAAGCAATTTAGTTCTGCATACACATTAAGCCTGCATTTGGTTTCAACCCTTTTTTTTTTTACAACGCAATTTTGTTGTTATAATTGTAAACAAGGTGAGCTAGTTTTGTAGATGTGTGAATTACTGTCGGTGAGTAGCTAGCCAATGGTCTTACCTCAGAAACACGATGCATTGTATTATCTTAATTTCAGTGGCATATGTGTATGTTCACAAAATGCATATTTTAAGTAGGAAGAAGCGGTTTTCTGTTCTTGATTCTTCTAAGCTATTTGCAAAAATTGCATTAAAATGCCTTCAAATAGTTGGTGAATAGCTTGACAGCTATAAATGCTTACCTTGACTTCTCCCTTCTTCCTCCTCTATACAATTACATTGATGCTTTCATTCCTACTTTTTCACAAGAGGCATCCTTGACAGGGGGAATAGGGAGAAAAGCGAAGCATCTTTACTTATTATGCCATCACTCTTCCTTAGGTCATGGTACTAAATGAAACCCATTCTTTCAAGAAATCACCCTGGAATTGGCCATTTGTGGTTCCCCATCCTCTAGCAAGTAGATGGCCTCATAGAAAGATAGCAAGTTCAAAGAAAGATAGCCTGGCAGCTTAAAACCCTCTGAAAAGCGCAAACATTTTCATTTTGGGAAAGTGTCAGTCAAATTTTGCCAAAATACCAAGTTATTTATTATCTCCTGTATTAAAGATACGTGTGATGTTTCCAAAAAATCATGGCAAACTGTTCTGGTGTTTGCAGAAATAATTTTTACTTTAAACAAATCAGCAGCTCTGTGATGGAGAAAGATGGATAGAGCATTTTCCATATTCTATTCAGAGAAGAAGGCTTTTTTTTCTTTCAGAATTTACTTACACCAACTACAGAAGAGATCTGTATAACAAATTAAAAGGAATTTTTTTTCTTAAAGAAGAGAGAAAAAATAAATACATTATTATCTTTTGTCATTGTAAGAGTTGAACCAAATAATAGATATGACTGGCACGATTTAGACAATCTCGAAAGGAAAGGTGAGCCACTATTATTCAGGAATAATTTAGGATAGGGTCCTTGTTAGCTACATTGTTAAGAAGGGAGAAGGGGAATTCATGATTTCTGGTATTGTCAGTGATTGCCTTTCTAGCTCAGAGGGAGTCATTTTGCTGCCTCAGTCTCTCACCAGAACAAAGGCGCACAATGTTTCACGAGACTACCTCACAGGTCAGTGTTTGGGTCCTAGAGCTTAATTTTGGCAAGCTCCAAATGGGGTATCCCAGAAGGTAAAGAAAAGCTTTGACCAGATATGTAAGGTATCTGCAGTTACAGAGAGTTTCATGTCAGGAAAAAAACAATTAGTTAACCAGACAATTAGAAATGCTTTACTGTGTGAATTCTCATGTTTTATGGGTCATATATAGTGCATATTACTAGCTTAGCCTACAAAATCCTTCTTGTTCCATTCTGTATACACATTCTCAGCAGAGAAAATTCTTTACCCTGAACTGGGAAAATTAAATCAAATGATAGATGTGACACAGGAATTTTTACTCCAATATAAAAGTACAAAATTGCCCCCCAGATTGATGTGTTCTTTGTGCTTCCAAATCTGGAGAGAAAATACCAACAGTTTCTCATGCACTCAAATATATCATCCACAGTTGTCTTCGGGGTATATCTTTTAGGAAACATGAGAAAAGAACCCAAAATCAAGTTTTTAAAATTGTATGGACTTTACTTTTTTTTTTTTAAATGACTTTGGTCAATTATCTTGATCACAGTATATCTCTAATTCACTCTATGTGGTGCTAACAGATTTGGATTTTTTTAATAACTACCAGCAAATACTATGCCATATTTATGAAATAACGAATTAAAAAACCCTTATGTACATCCTTATGTACTTCAGTTTCATGATGAATACAGTATCCATTTATTGCAAATGCCTTGGTGCCAATGGGCTTATTTTAATTTTAAATAATCATTCACAGCAGATGAAAGATAGAGCTTTTATTAACCACTGAAAATGTTTTGAAAGAGGTACCATACAATTAAGCGGGAAAAATTTACAATATAAATTTTATGTTGTACCAATAGCATATGAAAATAGCATTATCACTAAATGCAGAAAATGACACTTTTAACTAGCTCTATCAATTACTATTGGTTTTTATTAGCATATTATATTGGATTACTTTTACAATGAGATGTATTTTTGGTTGCTTGCATACTAAATTTCTTGTTCTTTCATCATCCTATTATAAGTGATCAGCTAATTAAATTAAATAGGACTCCAACCATAAAAATTCGTCCAAATGTAGTTTGATTGATTCTATTTAGTTATAGGCTAAATTTTGACATGTCTTCCAATGAGTTGTCTAAATAATTTCATTATGCAGGAATTTAGGGGCTATCAGTTGGGACTTAGAAATATTTATGTCAAAGATTTCCTGCAGTAGTAATGTTTTAGGGGCAGCTATGTGGCACAGGGGATAGAGCACCAGCCCTGAAGTCAGAAGAACCTGAGTTCAAATCCAGCCTCAGACACATAACACTTATTAGCTGTGTGACCCTGGGTAAGTCACTTAACCCCAATTGCCTCACCAAAAAAAAGTAATTATGTTTTAAATTAGTTGACTTTAAATATATTAAACCAATTAAAAGAAACATAAATTTTTTTTATTCTAATCCTAATTCATTTGTTAGTATTATTGAAACAATCAATAGGCAACCTAAGACTTCAAATATGCATCCATAGGCTATGATTCTGGGTTTCACTTAAATCTCAGAATTTTATTAGCCACAGTGAATTATTGACTCATTTAAAAAAAAAAATCTTCTCCTGCACGAGCTTTGAAAGAGTCAGTCATCTGGTTTCGTTGGTTCTGGTTACAGAATATCAAAATTCTCCTCTGTTTTATGCACATTATTCACTTAGCATTTTCTCAAAGCTCTTAACAAGGTATAAAAATAGTACCCAGTAACATTTAAGTAAAGGTGACAGGAAACAAAAGAACCTTCAAACAGAAAGTGTTCTCTGGCACCACCACCCCCTCTTCAAAGAATAATAAGCATATGGCAGAAATTTATGTCTGTGTGCTACGGGCTCAAGAGAGCTGCACGCACATTATCTTTTGAGGTGATCACCAACTTACGTCAACTACATTAATTAAGTCTACTTTCTAATTAGTTGACATATATGCCCTGTGAATTGTACTGGTAAATAGGATTATTGTCTACTCAAGGATGCTGAGTGCAAATCAGTGTTAATCTTAAACAGTTTGCTTTAAATTTTTTTTCCCTTTGCCCCTTTATAACAATTCAGGACTCACTGCCGTTGTAAATCAGTTAAGACCTGTTTTTCCTAAGGACCAAAGTAGACTGACCTTTACAATATTTCATTACCTGATTTCAGCTTCCCAGTAACTTAGGTGTTATCTGTAGTATTCTAACCCTCTAGAACAGGGACTCTTAACTTGGAGTATATAAACTTAAAAAAAAGAAAACTATTTTGATAATTATCTCAACATAATTGATTTACTTTATAATCCTATGTATTTTCTTATGCATTTAAAAACATTATTCTAAGAAGGGGTCCATAGGCTTTACCAGATTTACTAAAGTAGTCCATATTACAAAAAAGGTTAAGAATCTCCTTAGAGAACCTTAAATTTTATTTTGGGGGCAGCTAGGTAGCGCAGTGGATAGAGCACCAGCCCTGAAGTCAGGAGGACCTGAGTTCAAATCCAGCCTCAGACCAAACACTTGACACTTACTAGCTGTGTAACTCTGGGCAAGTCACTTAACCTCAATTGCCTAAAAAAAAAAAAAGTTTTATTTTGTAGTGCAATTCCATTTTAATGTGTAAGGTGGGTTTTGAAGACTGCATTTGATACTGCAGTTGATTGTGTACTTTTTTTTTTGTATTTCCATGTAAAGGGCTTTAAATTAATTTTTTAAAACCACCTAGTCAACATTACAGATATTTTGTGATAGCCCACGAAGACAGAAGCTTCACATTTGGCAGACCTGACTTCTGACTCTTTTAAGAGAAAACCTGAATTTTCAAGGAATCCCTACACTTTCAATTGTGATTCTGCCATATTACAACAGAACACCTAGAATCACTTCATTCTGGAGCAAATTCTGGGCACACTTTGGTTTGATTTCGAGGCTCTGAATCTCAATTTTTTTTAAACTAAAGTTTTTTAGAACATAAAAAGAGGATTGTATATAAAACCATGAATCTCTCTTCCATACTGCTTGCCCTTTTAAAAGCATATGAAAAATTCAACACATTACTTTCAAAGCTGTCCTGCTTGTGTGTTCCATCTGAACATCCTTCTGTTATCTTCTATGAATAATTTCTGTGGCCCCTTTTTATGGGCATCATGATTGGTAGCCCTCCTCTGTTACCCAAATCCTTCCCAATTAAAAACAGGAGGAAAAAAGAAATCATGTAACAAATCCACAGTCAAGCAAAACAATTCCAAAAATGTATGTCTCTACTCCCTGAGTCCATCAACCCTTTGTCAGGAGGTAAGAGATATACTTTGTCATTGGTCCTTTGGTTAATCATTGCTTTGATCAAAGTTCTTAAATTTTCAAAGTTTTTTTTTTTTTTAACAGTGTTGTTACACAAAGTGTCTTCTTGATTCTGCTCACTTCATGCTTCATCAGTTCACACATCTTTCTAGGATTCTCTGAAATTATCTTTCATCATTTCTTACAGCTATGTTTAATGTAATTTAATTCCATTCATATACCGTAATTTGTTCAATCATTCCCCAGTTG